CATGATTGCGCAGTTAAATTATGCGTTTAGACAGTTAAGCAAGCAAATGTATACAAACAGAAACACATCAACAAACACGGTCGTGTACCTTCGGTTTGGGTTCTGCAAGAAGGAAATGTGTGGAAACAAATTGAAATCGTATTCGTAAATGCATGTTTTGACCATCAGAAGCTTTTGGCTCACTAGGATCGCAAGTGGTTTGATATAGTAAAATAGGAGATAAGGGGCAAGACTACGTGCCACGTGCAAGAAGAAATGTTTGGATGAAACATACGAAACCTTAAACGTTACAGGATGAAGCCATTTATTAAAGGACAGTCGATCCTGGGATAGTTAACTAATTTTACCCACGATTTTTTTGAACTAGAACATGGGGCACAGTCTCCTTGGTCCGCTGGTTGGATAAATGATGCAGTGTTGTGATGCTGTTTAAGCGGTTGCCTCCAGGACAAATTTATTAGAATCTACTGCATTGGCAAAACTAAGTGGTGACAAAAAATAAAAAAAATCGGATGACAACTGAAACTATGGAATTCGTGCAGTAGTGGAGGTCGTCGAACGCGCAACACCATTAGATGTAAAAGATAAGAATTTCATTGATAAACTGAAAAAAGTATAATCTTGTTTTCTTACACGTACTTCTTGACCGAACTATTAATGATTCATTCTCTTTTCCCAACTACATCATCAGTGTTTTTGCCAATTTTGATGCGTTTACTTGATTATTGGCTGAAATCTTTGGGTAACTGGATTTCATTTTTTTCTTTCTTTTTTTGCTAGAAAAGTCGATTTCGACTGATCAAATACTTGAAATTTTCAGTTTTCTTTCCTGGCCTGAAGATTTCTCGCAATTTTTTTTTTGAAATACTAGTTTAAAACTTAAGAATCTGGTACTCTTCAATAATATTTCTCGATTTGTATACGAAATTTCGTGTACTGTTGATCAGCTTTTGATTCTGTCTCAATCTTTTCGCACTTTTCCTGATGACTCTGGTGTTTTTCCAGGCAACGAAAGGAAATGAACGATTTCCTTTGTTCCCCTTTTTTCTTGTACTGATTACATTTTTATATCAGTGCCAGGCACTTTGGTGTGTTATTAGAGTTCTTTTGTTTCAAGTTTGTTCGTTATATTTGCATTTACAAATAATGTAGACAGCGTTTTTGCACAGCTAGAACTCCATTTGACTGCCGTTTTTCGGTCGACCCCTTCAAGCACAACCGAGAAAATGCGACACAGCCTAAACTCGGCTTTTTCGGAGTAGCAGGACACTTGTCAGAATGGACATAGCACGAATGCTTTACTTTAGTTTCTGTGCAATATTTCATGCGATGTTTCACAAAAGATTTAGATTCTATCAGACTTTCGGCTGTGTACTGCTTGCGTTCTTAGAACAGTTGGCCCACGAAAAGTAAATCTCTG